TGTCGGCGCCGGGCCCGGGTCCAGGGCCGGGGCCGGGGGGCGCTGGGTGCCGCAGGAGCGGCTGCTGCTCCGCCAGGCGGTAGTTGATGGGAGCGGCGGGCGGCAGCGACACGGCGTGCGCCGAGTTGGGGGACGTGATCTCGAAAGTCGGCACCTGCGTGGCCAGCGAGTAGTGGAAGTCCACGGGAGAGAGGCGCGCGGGCGTGGTCAGAGCCGACACGTACCTGCGGGGAGAGGGAGAGGGGTGGGCGGCGGACCGGGGTGGGGCGGAGGGGGCGGACCCTGACGGAAAGCGGTTGTGCCTGGGATCCCGCTTCCAGGAACGATGGTGGTAATCCTCAGTGACCTTAAGCATTTCCTTAACCTCTCTGAGTCTCAATCTCCTTATCTGTTAAGCGGGGATAACCACAGTGCTCCTTCCATAGCCTCGCTGGGACGATTCCATAAATGTATCAGTGGGATGTCATAGCCCAGTGCCTGCCTGATCCGGTAAGCCTCCATGAATGGTCCTTTGCTGTGGAGATGCTCACAGTCACCGGTATTCCTGAATGGTTACTTTGGGTCAGGCTCAGGCTGGGGCGTTTTACATGTATGATCTCAACTGATACAGTAATTCTGTAAGACCCTTAAGTTAGTCCCATACTACATGTGAGGAAGCTGAAATTCAGAACATCTAAGTGACTTATTCAAGGTTCACACAGCCTGGAAGTGGTAGAGCTGAGATTTGAACGCAGGCCAGGCAGGAACCAGGACTCTCATAATGCCCAATTCCAGAAGACACTAGTCCCTATTAAGCCACCCTTGTGACTTGGACTCACTGTCCCTGCAGGGACAATTCAGCCCACGGCTGATGGCTTCAGTAGGAGAAATATTCCTTCTTATATTGAAGCTAAAAACTGCCTCAGGGAAGTGACTGCTCACACCTCAGGCAGGGTCCTCAGCCCAGGGCCGACAGTTACCAAGACTCCACCGAAGTATCTCTGCTGGAGACTAAAGACTACCAGTTCCTTCAAAAGTTTGCCTGTGCTAATATCTCCCAGTCTGGGCCCCAGGCACCTGTCTCTTCTTTCTCCACATCCCCCTTGCTGAGTCCATCAGCCTCTGGCCCAACCATTGTCCACCTCAGGACAGGGACCACCCACCTCCACGCCTCTCTTCCGAACTCTCTTCCAAACCGGGCACCTCACTGCTCTCTCCCATTACTCTATTTCTGAACCACCTGACTCCCCTCTCTTCCGTCTCCCACATGCACATCCAATTAACAACCAAGTTGTACCCATTCCCTCTCTCCTGGAACATACCTCTGCCCTGCTCTACCCCATCCTGGGCCTAGCTGTTCACTCTGGTCATTGCCCCACCCCAGGGTTTTTCCTCCTTCACTCTATGCAGTTCCCAGAGCAATCTTTTAAAGTCACAGCTCTGCTTAAGGAAGCCCTTCCTGCTTACCCACCCAGAGCCCATCTCCTAAGCAGAAGCCTGGAGTCATTGGCCATCTAGCTGGCCCCAGACTGCCTGTTCAGGCCCAGCTCCACTCTCCCCACAGCCTAGCCTGCTCTAGGCACCCCACTCACCAGCCATGTTCTTAAGTTCCCCTTGCCTGGAATGCTTGCCCCATCTCTCTACCACCCAACCATTAAGGAGTCCTATTGCTATTGATAACAAGAGATACACCTAGTGAGCGCCAGCTCCATGCCAGGTAGGAGGGAAAGAGCTTTGCGCACATGATCTCTGGTGCCCTTCATGAGAACCATGCATGCGAGGTATTGTTCTCCCTGTTCTACAGCCGAGGAAACAAAGGCACAGAAGTGGTCAACCTGCCCCGAATCACAAAAGTGGTGGAGCTGGGCTAGGAAAGGAAAACCTGGCTGCTTCCCAGAGCCTGCAGTCAGACTGAGTTTCTCTGTCCTAGTGGAGTGTCCTGTGCTTAGCACTTTCCATAGGCAGCTGAGAGGTTCAGTGGTTGTGTCCACAGCTGGGAGCTCCTCAGCAGCAAGAACCAGGTGGACCATCTCTGGATCCCCAGGCAGGCCTGCCCAGCATGGGTGCAGCATGGAGTAGCCTGGAGTTCCTAGTACTGTGCACCTTCCTCTGCTCTCCTCCCACGGATCCCACTTGCCAAAGGCCCCTCGAGGGCCGAGCAAGGTAGGGGGCTGGTCCCCTATGACTCCTGGCTTGGAGTCAGGGAAGAAGGAGAGTTTCCTGGTTCTCACTGCATCAATTGTTTGGTAACCCAGTGGCATCTTGATTCATGGGGACTTGTTGCTGATACTGCTTGGGCCTGAGATCATTCTTGGCTCATGCCCATCCTGCACTGGTCAGTCTCCTCACAGACAACCTCCCCTCCCACCCTGCAATCTGCTCGATCTTAGTCTCTTTCTGTTCGTGCTGGGACATTGGGCCTCTAGGTGACACCAGGGTAGGGCTACCATATGTTCTGTTTGTCCAGGACAGCCCCTGTTTGTTCCTGATGTTCCAGTGCAATTATAATAACACCCCCTTCTACTCTGAAAAGAGTCCTAGTAGGACAATTAAATTAGATGGTCACTCCATACCAGGGTCCACTGGGCTGGCCATAGTCCCAGCCTGTCATTAACATGCTGATGACGCTGAGAAGATCATTTAACCTTTCAGGGACCTTGTTTGCCTATCTGAAAAATGGGGGTGAGGCTCTTTGGAGTATCTCTGAGGTACCCTAAGGGTCAGCCCTGGGTCAGTGGTGCTAGCTCTCTGGCCAAGGTGGGGCACAGGTCACAGCAGGAACTGACCTCTCGCTGTGTGGGGAGTCACGCAGGGAGTCGATGGAGTCATGGTAAGGGGGCACGGCAGCCCTGCGCCGCTCCTCCAGGCTGTAGGCTGCCGCCCGCCGTGCCCGGGCCTCCACGCATGCTGGGCTGTTGCACTTGCTGGTGCCCACTGATGACAGCATGATGCCCGACTGGGAGTCGGAGGTCAGGCTCTCAGAACGTTCCAGGCTCCACGTGTGGCTCTCATGCCTGGGGAAGCCAGATGGGGGTGAAGCGAGGGGTCAGGAAGGGGCAGGAAAGCCCAGCAGGTGTGGTCCCAGGCCCACCCCCTCCCTGGGTCTTCATTCCATCTCAGGCCCCTTCTGTTCACTGCCCTTGTCCACTCTGGACTGATGTGCAGTATCACAAATGCCCAACCTCAATGGAGGGAAAAGGAGGGCTGTGGTCCTGTGAGTGGGTGAGCTGCAATGTGCGCAGGCCTCTTCCTTTCCTCTCTGCAACCAGCCTTCCCCTAGCCTTGCCCCAGGGTCCCCTGTCGGGGACCCTTCCACTCCTATGGTCCTTAGCCACCTATTGCAGGAGCCTAGCACTGGAGGCCAATACCTGGGGGTCCTGCCTATTCCATGCTGCTGCTCAGGGAAGAAGGGGGCCAACCATGTTATTTCTTGAGATTTATGAGCCTTCATGCTGTGTAGACAGGCCTCCCCACCACTGGAGAGAAGAGCATCAAAGAGCTCTGGGTGTCTGAGTCAGTAGGCACTTTCTGCTAGATAAAGTGGTGCTAACGAGGTCCAAACAAGGTCCAAACGTTAGGTGGGAGCAGTGATGCCGCTGTTCCTCTGGGGCTGCTTTAGACTGGAAAAGGGAATCCACTCCCCTGGGGATCTGGACGGACATTTGGTGGTGGCTTCTGGTTTGAGGCCCCCACCTCCATCCTCCCACTCAGAGGGACCCTCAATACAGAGCCCAGCCTTGCTGGGGAGTTTCTGTGTGTCCCCAGGCAGGTGTGTGAGCACGTGCGCATGCTCTCTGTGGGTGTGCGTACAGGAGTCTGCAAGTCTGTGTGGGCCTTGATGGTGCCCACCTGTGGCTGGAGGTGGGCGTGGCTGTGGAGCAGTGGTGAGAAGGAGAACAGGAGTGGCTCCCAGAGAAGGTGGTCTCGGTTTCCCTCCGGATGACGTGGTCTGTGGCTGGCACATTCTTGGAGATATACTAGAAGAGACAGAAAGTTGGGGGTGGGAGTTAGTGACAGGCGACCGAGTCGGCCCTCCTTTCTGGTGGGGGCAGGAAAAATGAGGCACTAAGCTCCAGGCTGTGGGGGTGGCCACTGGATAAGTGACTCGGTGTTGGGGCAGCGATGGCCCCAGCAAATCAACCGCCCCACCCTTTCTTAAGGAAGTGGGCAAAGCCAGGCCAGTCATCCCAGTGAGGCAAGGCTAGGCTAGCAGGTAAGGCTGAGCGTGGGATGTGTTGGCTGCCGCCCTGGCCCATCCTTCAGGGGGCACGGGAAGGCTGGCTGTACAGTGAGGGCTCAGAGAGAGGCCCGGGAACACCACTCACGTCTGCCATCTGGATCTCCTCAGGGTCCAGCCGGGGGTGGCTGGGCCCGTTGGCCAAGCTCCGGTTCTGGTGGGCTGGGCACATGTTCTGCCGGAGGTGATTGTGCATCTGCTTCCGCTGTTTTCTGCACAGGGGAAGGTGCATTAGCCTGGCATGCCCCCACACACGTGAACTTCCCTGGCTGTCCCTCCAGAGGAACCACTCTACCTCTGCCCTAGACTGCCTCGGGCGTCTCCTGCTCCTGCTTTCCCCATGCTCAGGCTGCCCTCAGCCAGGACCCCTCCCATCTACCCACTACCCTGTCACCACCAGCCTGAATTCAGCAGGACCTGAGCGAAGTGGTGATGATCTTTGGCTCTGCCAAGAGAGCAGACCTCTACTGCTTCCCACTTGTGTAACTGGGCCAACTACTTAAACTCTCCATGTTTCACTTTCCTCGTCTGTAAAGCGGGGTGATCATTTAGCCACTCCAGAGACCAGGGAGGATTGAAAGCAGATAAAATATTCAAGCACAGTGCTGGCCCACTCCCTCCCTCATTCATTCATTAATTCATTTGGTATTTCTTGGGTTTTTACTCTGTGCCAGATGCCATTCTGGAGCAGAGAACAGACCCAGTTCCTGCCCTCATGGAGCTTGCAGGCCAGTAGGCGATGCAGATGATAAACACATAAACAAATAAACCAACAAGATACTTTCAACAAAGTGCTGTGAAGGACATAACACAGGGTGCTGTGGTCAGGGAGTCAAGGCCTGTGGGGCTACTTTACTTTGGCTCGTATTAAGTGCTCAGTACATTTGTTTTGTCATCAATAAGTCTAATCATGTCACTCGCCCGTTTAAAACACTTCATTGGCCCTCAGTGTCCTGTTTCTTTCCCTAGCCTCTCTCTCACTGCCCTCTCCCCAACCCAGCTTGCTGCAGCCTTGAAGGGCTTATTTCTGATCCTCCACTATGCCCGCCCTCTCTGGCCTCTGGGCACATACTATTGTATCCAACTGGAACACATTCTCTGTCTCTTCACCTGCTAACTCCTGCTGATGAGGCCCAGCCTAAATGCTCCTTCTCGGGGAAACCCTTCCTGCCCTCCAGCCCAGACTGGCACCCCTGACATGTGTCCTGTGACACTGGACATCTTGGTCAGAGCACTGGCCATGTGTCTGGTGCAGGATCTGGTGTCCAGCAGGCATTGAATGAAAATTTGTTGAAGAAATGAGTAAATACAGTGGGGGTTAGACCAGGGGGCTTGCTTTTCCCCTAATTCTTGGCCTCAATTTTCTGACTTGGGCCCAGTCTCTTCCTCTGGGCACCCTGAGCCCAACTCCCCAGGCTGGCAGGGCCTTAGATCCCTTAGATGGGGGCAGCAGGAGTCAAGACCCAGGGGCTCAGGCCCCCAAATGGTGGCTATGCCCAGACCCTTGCATTCCAGAAAAGAACAAGTGTGACAAACCTATCATTTTTCTGAACTACATCACTCTACAACCTTCATTGGCTCCCTATCATCTGCAGGATAAACCCAAGCTCCCTAGCTTGGCATTCAAGGCCCTGTGGTGCCATCTGGGTTCTAGCTATCTTTTTAGACTCATATTCCTTTTTTTCTTGACACCAGCCCTTTGCTCCAACTAGTCTGGGCTGCTCCTGCTCTAGGAACACAGCTGACCCTCCCCTGCATTTATCTTTTAGCTCGCACTATTCTACCAGAACTGCCCAGCCCCCCGTCTGCCCCTTTCTTCTCCTTGCCCTAAGGTTCTGTCCTTTCCTCTACCCAGTGGTGGCCCAACCTTGCCTTCCCTGTGTTCTTGCCTAGACCACTCCCAAGGTGGGACCAGGCAGTGCCTTCCAAGGTCTCTTTTTGCCCTGGGAATGTAGGCTTCCTTTCTCTGCTTCCACACCCCATAACACTGCCCCAATGCCTGCCTACTTGACAGGTCAGATGTCCCCTCACAGTATCCTCTGAGATACATACTAGGATCATTCCCATTTTACAGATGAGGACTCAGAGAAGTTCATCAATTTGCTCAGAGTTGCATGGGAAATGGCAGAGACAGACTCGAACCCAGGTCTGTATTCTTCCAATGCCTGTTCTCCTGACCATTCTTGTTCAGTCCCCTGGGGCCTGTCTCCCTCCCCCTCTGCTCCTGCTTCCTGGTCCAGCCCTTTGGCCCCACACCAGCTACAGAGGCCTCTGAAGGGGCAGCTGGGGCCTAGGAGGGTGTTGTGGGGGGCTAGGTTAGGCACAGTGGGGCAGGGAGGAGAGCCTCTCCTCACAAAAGCAGTCTTAGAGGCCCATCCATGCTTGGCCTGCCCCCGGCCTGAGTGTTTGTCACTCACTTGGTCTTGCAGTAGGCGACCACGCAGACGATGCCCACGACCAGCAGAGCCACGCAGATGCCGGTGATAGTCAGGACCCTCTTCTGGTACAGCTCCTCGGCTTCTGCAGAGGCAGAGGGTGTGAGGGGCAGGGCAGGAGGCAGACCGGTGGGGACAGTGGTGCGGAGACCCCCCCCCCCCACCGCCCCCAAAGCCTCGGGATCCCTCCAGCTCAGGGGCTGCCTAGCTCCTTTCCCTCCCTTCCCTCCACAGCCAGTCCCCTCCCACCTGGATTACCTTCTGCTTCCCAGAACTCCACCCACCCATGGAAAGGTCACAAGTGACTACCCGAGTTCACTTTCCCAAACCCCACACCCTGCCTGGAGCACATGAGTGGAAAATGCAGGGGGATGGGAGGGTGGAATGGAGTTGAAATTCCCCAGGTCATAGGGGAGGGCAACCCAGTTTGGCTAGCAAACTTGCCCTGCCCCACTATGGCCTGGCAGCTGCAAAGAGCCTTGATGGGCCCCGGGGGAGCTGTTTTTCATGGTGGTGAACATGTAGACCCTAGGCAAAGGCCTGGCTTGCCACTTCAGCTTCCCTAAGAAGGTGGCGAGTGGCTTGTTGTAGGCTGGTGATAGGACATCAGACTCAGAGGCTGGACGTAGGAGGGATGCCAGGGCCAGGAGCAGGGACAAAGCAGACCAGGCCCCTGGAGGGTATTGGGGAGAAAGGCCTTTGTTTATTCCTGCAGCCTGGTCAGGGTTGTGGCCCTGGCCCACTCCAACCCTCCCTGTCTCTGCTTGTGACAAGGCCACGAGTGGCAGCATAGCTCCCTAGCATCTAGGACAATCCTTGTGCTCAAGGAGCAGCCCCCCCCCCAACTTTGGAGGCACTCAAAAAGACCCGACTATCCCCTCTACCTCCCACTTCTTGGTGGGGCAACCCCTACCCTTCTAGAACAGAGAAAGCCAGGAGGAAGAAAAGGAGAAAAGTGACAGCACCAGCCATAGTCAAGGCCTACCGCCGAGACACCCCACCCCTGCCCCCACCCACACCTGCTGGCTGGACCCTCCACATGGCACCCCTCATGCCAGTGCAGGGATAAGTGGAGGCTGGGCCCCACAGCTAGGTGGAGCCCCGGGAAACCTCCCTGAGCCCCTGGGCTTGCAGCACCTCCTGTGGCTGAGGTATACCCACCAGCAAACATCCAGGGGCACAAACCCTTCAGATGCACACACCTTTAGGACTATGCCTATCTGATACACAGACAGACACCTTCACAAAGATACACTCACACCCATGTCCAGAGAAGTGTGCATGTGCACGGGTGTGCGCACACACACACAGTCATGCTCACCTACACACAACCATGTGGAGTCTTGAACAAACAGCCCTCCACCCCAGACCCCCATGTCTGGGCTCTGCGGTCCGCATTGTGCCTCCAGTTCTCATCCCTGTCCACCTCTCAGTCCTCTCCAGTCAGGCATCTGGCTCTGTCTCTCCTCTGAGACCACTGTGGTCATGGTCACCAACAACCTCCTGCTGCCAAGTCCCGTGCTTCCCTCTCAGCTGACCCCCCTGCTGGGCCCACTGCCCCTAGATGGCTGTTCTCTCTGGGGTTTCCTCCTCCGCCATTGGCTGATCTCTCTGTCTGAGTTGCTGCTTCCTCCTATTCTATGTGGGCTGCAAGGCAGAAGGGCCCAGAGCTCTCAGGCTGCTTTCTTTTCTCCACCTCCTCTCCCTCCCTTCATGATCTCACCCAGATTCAGAACTTTAAATACCATCTGTATGCAGCTGACTTTCAATTTTGTATCTCCTGCCCTGACTTCTCCCTGAGCTCCAGTCCTATATCCAAGAGCAATGGCCAAACAGAAGCACTGATTCCCCACCCTCTTTCCAATCTTCTCCCTGCTCTGCCCATCTCTTCCGTGGCAGCACCACCTTTCCTGTTTTTCAGGCTCCAAACCTTGGAATCATTCCTGATTACTCCCTTTCTTCCCACCTACCCTGATTTCTGATCCATCGGCAAGTCCTTCAGCTCTACCTCCCAAGCAAATCCTGGATCTGACCATTTCTTACCATTTCCAGTGCTTCCAGTTTAGTCCAAGATGACACCATCTCTCACCTGGACAGCTGGCCACCTTCTGACTGGTTTCTCTGCTTCCACTCCTCCCCACCCTGTCCCCTGACCCAGTCTATTCTCAGCCCAAAAGCCACAGTAATTTCCAACCATAAAGCGGATCATTTTACTCCACTGCTTAAAAATTCACAATGGCTTCCCCCTGCAATTTGAATTCCACCCAAAGCCTTACCACAGCCTTTGAGGTCCCGGCCTTCCTTTTAGATCTCGTCTGTGTTCCTCTTCCCCATGTCCACTGTGCCCCCAAGTGACTGGCAGTCTTTCTGTCCATTGAATAAGGCAAGCCCACTCGAACCTTAACTTGCTGTGGCCCCTGCCTCAAATACTCTCCCCCAGTTGTTTGCAGGGCTGGCTACTTTTCAATAGGTTTTAGCCCAATGTCACCTCATTGGACAAGCCTTCCCTGGCTACTTAGCTAAAGCAGCTCCCACCCCAGCTAGGCACCATCCCATACTTTCTTTTATCTCTGTATAGCACTTACCACCACCCCATAGCTTTCCGGCTTGTTTGTTGTCTGTCTCCCCCTGTGAATTTGAGTGCCAGGAAGGCAAGGACTCTGTGCCAGAGTCTGGCAAATTCTGAGGTTCAGTAGATGTTTGTTGAGTTGTGAGTGAGTGAACATACAGACAACCATTACAGACACAGACACATGTTCACATATGCTCACACTCACCTCCGCACCCTCACAGTTCCAACTGCACAACACTCAACCCTTAACACAAAGGTATGCCACTGCCCCTCTCCGTGCACTCGCACCCTGCACTGAAAGACCTAACCAGGTGGAAACGTTTTCACCCTCCACGACAGCATACACACACACATAGCTACAGATCCACCCCTGAGCACCCTGCCACAATCACACAGACACGGCGCAGACTCAAGCCCCCTCCTCCCCTCGCCGTCAGTCAGCAGATGGACAGACACACTCTTGACACACAGACTTGTAGTTCTGTCTTCTATTGTGAACAGCTGATCGGGGCTGGGTGGTGGGAGAACGAGGGGCTTCAAACCTGCCACGAGAACAGCCTTTTTGTAACTGCAGGCTCTGCAGTTATGAAAAGGTCTGACCCCATGGGAGCCTCAACCCATCTGAGCCCCTGTGTCTCTCCTGCTGGAATACGTCTGGACACTTGAGCCCAGGGTGGAGCCTCCCCGTACAAAGCCAGAGAGCTGAACAGACCGACCCTCAAAGTCCCTTCCTGCCCAAGGCATCTTCCAGGGGCCAGAGGGCCAGAGGGAGGTAAGGTTCCAAGCTGGGGGGGCAGGAGGGCAGATACCAGAGGCTAGCCCACCTTAGACCCTTGCTGGTCTTGCCCACAGACAAACACGTGTGCCATCGTGGGGACAGATCATGGAAGGAGTGACAGCCTCAAGCAGGTGGCAAAGCCCGGCAGACAGACACAGAGCAGGGGACAGAGACAAATAGGTGTTATTAACTGGCCAGCCTGATGCAGAATGAAAAGCAATGGAAATGGAAATGGGAAAAGGAAGGAAGATTAAAGTCAAATTGAAAGGGATGCCTCTCTGCACAACTCTCTGAATCAGGAGGACACTGGCTCTCCCAGGGGCCTGTCTCTTGTCTGGCCAACCCACTGGGCTGCACACAGCTCATGAGGCCCCTCCCCTCTGTGGCCTCCTAGCGATGGGCCCCAGGCAAGGGGGCATTACTGTACGCGGGGGGCACACTCTGAACCCCAGAGTACACTGCTGTTCATGAGCTTCTCTTGTCTCCCCCAAAGCAACATAGTTTATGATAGGACATCTGGATGGGGCCAGGGGAGATTTTTGGAATCATCCCTTTTCCATTTTTTGGAAAGGAAACCAAACATCCAGCACACATGGCATCAGAGGCTGCGGAGAGGGGCTGTGTGGATGGTGCTGACTGATACACAGAGGCTCCGTACCCTTTAGTTCAAATCCAAGGTGCTCTGGCAGTGCAGAAGAGAGGAGGGTCAGAGAGGGGAAGGGATGGAGGGAGAGATACAGATAGAGATGGGGAGGGGGGAGGCGGGAGAGAGAGAGAGAAACGTTGGTCAGGACTCTTCAGACACCAGCAGCCAGCCTGTGAGGTGAAAGCAGGTTAGTGGTGTCCCCTCCCGGCCTTCTGAGCCCCTTCCCTGGCCCCCAGTCCCCAAGAGCCCCTGAGAGGGGTGGAGAGAGGACATGTTAGGATCAGCAGGCAGGGCAGGTTCTTTAGAGATGAGCTGTGGGGTTAGTACCTGGTGGGGAGGCAGAGGCGCAAGAGTCAGTTGGCAAATGCCCCCAGGGAGGAAAAGTGAGTGGGGGTGGGGGTCCGAGGAGTCCCCATTCTCCCTCTCCCAGCTCCAGGGCCAGGCCTTCAGCACTTTCAAGCCCCACCTGGAGACAGTTTGCCCAGCCCCGAGCTCATTCATGGGGCTCTTTTTCCTGTTCAGAACGAGGGTGTGGTGTACCCAGACTGGCCTTTTTGTCCCTGTCCCCTGCCCCCTGCCCAGGCCTAGCTGGCCTGCGCATCCACCAGGATCCTGGGCATGGAAACAGAGTTTGTCTGGAGCAGGAGTAGGGAGAGGAGGAGGCTCCAGGTGGCAGGTCACTTCTCCACTTGACACCCCCAACAGCCTAGAGGCCTACAGGGGCTACGCCTTGAGGTCTGAGCCAGATTTCACTACTTAGAGAAGCAAACTGCAACTCAGAGAAAGAGGTGAGTGGGTTCACTTGTCAAACACCTGTCCCCCTTAAATGGTGGACCAAGTGAAGTGCTATCGTGTGGTAAATGTGCGACTGCAGGACCCTGTGAGGAAAGCCATGCCATCAAAGGGTTAGATGAAAGGCCCTGCCCAAGGGTCAGCTCTGCCACGGACCTGCTGTGCAAGCCCGAGCGTCCTCAGCCTTTCTAGCTCTCAGTCTCTTATCCGTGAAGTGGAGATCGGGCCTGGCCATGGCATCTCTAGGGGCTCGCACCTGGCCGTGATTCAGAATCATCCAGACCAACAGAATCAGGCTCTGGGGTGGGAGCCCAGAAATCTCAACAGTGCTTTTGAAAAGCTCACCTACCATTCTGATGTAGCAGCCAGCACCTGTCTGCAGGCCTGGAGTCTCAGTTTTGTCCCTAATTTGCTGTGTGGATGTGGGCAAGTCATAGTCTCTGTTTCCTCATCTGTCGAAAGTGCCTGCACACAGTGAGAGGAAGATGGGAGCAGACCTGGACAGTGTGAGGCTCAGTGTGCATGCAAAGGCCCTGGGCCGGCCAGCCCGGATCTGCTCACTCCACGGCCTTCCCACGTCACAGTAAGCTCAGCTAGATCCAGGGAGGAGGTGAAATTGTGTTCTGATGTTCTCATCTCCTGCAGAGGAAGGATAACATGGGGGACATCGCAGGAAGTCCTGTGCACTATCCATCCCTGTATCTCTCTTCTTCCTGATGGGGATTCCAGAGGGTTCTGCAGGAGAGCAAGGTGGCTCTGAACCAGGGACCAAGATGGTTCTGACTGAAAGAGCCTTGAGGAAGATCCTGGGGCTCTGACCCCCAGTTCCACGCAGAGACCACGCACCCGAAGAATGAACCCAGCCCTTCCCAACACGAGCCCTTCTGTGCATTCCTGTTAAACACAGGGATGGGAGTGATCTTGAATGTGGTTTCTCTGCAGTCTTACTCTTACTGCTCGGAGGTAGGAGTGACCATAAACACAGTGAGTCCACTCCTCTCCCAGGGCCTCCCATGGCTGGCTAGCTGGACTAAGCGGGCAGTAGAAACTTGACAAACTCAAAGGGTCCTCGGGGCAACTCTCACTGAGTAGTTAATCCTGTGGCCTCAGGGACCCTCCAGGTAGCTCAAGAGAGCTCGCATCATTTGGTTATCCAGCCATGGTCCCCTGAGAGAGAAGAGCCCAGCTTGACCACAGCACCCGGGACACTAAGAGGACTGTGGTTCATAGAGCTGGTCTGGGCCTCACTTTTGATTGTTGTTGTATTAGAAGAGGCAGCTGGGGCCCAGTGGTGCTACGACACTTTCCCAAGGTCACACAGCAAATTAGGAGGCAGAAGGGAGACTGGAGGCCAGGTCTCCAGTCTCTTGGGGCTAAGCTAGGCCATGGTTATTCCTGCCCATTAAATCTCTGGGCAGGCCTGACTGGCTATTCCTGAGGACAGTGACCATCTGGAGAAGGGAGCAGGGCTCCCAAAGCCATTTAAGAATTTTATTCTGCATCATTCCCCTGGCAACCAAGTAGAAGCAACAGTAGCTTCTGGGGCTCCTGACTGGCCTGCCCTTTGAGTCAAAGGCCAATACTGTTTTGGGTGGACCAGAGGTGGCTGGCAGGACTGGTCATGTCACTGTGGGCTTGGCCAATCACTTGGAAGGCAGCCTTGCTTCCCTCTCCCTGGGGATAGACTCTGAGGGGCCCGCGGCTATGTCTGCCCCAGCAGAGATAACAGTCTCCCACTCATCATGTTCACTGGCTGCCACTCAGCCAGGATGGAGTGGCATCACTGAGTCACAGACAGGTCCTGCTGGGCAGAAATTTGCATATTGACCAGTAACCATGGCAACCCGATGCTGGACTCTCAACAGGGCGAGGCTTACCAGACAATATGCAAAGTCTTCATCCTGGACATGTCCTATGACACCCAGTCACAGGGGTCTGGACAAGGCGGCCATGATATGGGCCCCAGAGTACATGCTCATGTGTTTGTGCGTGTGTGTGCAGGTGTGAGCATATGTGTGTGTGTGTTTGCACATGAGTGAGTATGTGCTTGTGTGTTTGTGCATGTGTCTGCAGGTATGTGTGCTTTTTTACATGGAGGGTATACAGATGCACAAGTTTTGACTCTTGGGAAGTAGAGGGGCTGTCAGTGCTTCAAAGTGCTATTGTGGCCACAGGCTCTGTTTCTGTGGCCTCTGCTTAAAAGGTAACCTGGTCTAGAGGCTCTCTGGGCAGATGGGGAAGGCCAGATACTTTGCTCAGGATGTGCTGGGAGTCAGCCTCCAAGGGACAGATGCTGGCTCTCCGCCCCCACCCTCATTCCAGCTGTAGCTGGGAGAGGTGCCACACTACACTTCAACAACAGTGGCAGGCTCTCTGCTAAGCCCTTCATACGCATCACTTCATTTCATCCTCACAGCAAACCCACAGGCATAAATGTTATTCTCCCCCATTTTACAGATGAGAAAACAAACTCAGAGAGGTTAAATAAGGCCCCAGAACTAGTCAGCTCAGCAGCTGGCATTTTTATTCAGGTCCATCTGAATCCAAAGCCTGAACACTTAAGCTAGCATTTTTTCACCACCTTTTCAATAATTATCTGATAGAGCAGTGCAAGAAGTGCTCTGGGCCAAGTGCTGGAAGAGTATAAATCCTTCAGCAATAGCAATGATCCTGATAACACTAGGCAGGAAGGCCTGGGGCTGAATTTCCAGGCTCTTTTCTGGGCTTGTGGGGCCCTGCTGACCCTCCTAGCAGATCTGAGCCGAAAGCTGAAGCAGCCCAGCTGGCAGAGACACTTGGACAGTGGCCGAGTTCCGAAGGCTCTGCTGCTCTGCTCTGATCAGGATGGGCTGGGACTCCCTGTCCAGAACAGTTCCATAAGCCAGGGAGGCTCTGGGCCTGAGGGTGAAAAGAAATATGCCCTCCTCTGTCTCTCTCCCCTGGTCCTCAGCCTCCGCCTGGCTGCTCTGCCCACTCCTAAGGCCCCTCCTGACCTACGGTCCTTCAGTGGGGCTGGATCTGACTCTGCAATTCTTCTGGAGCCTGGGCTCTGGAGAATTCCGTTGGGCCACATGCCCTGCCCTCAGGCTCTGCTCTTATCCCCACGGCCTTCCTCCCTGGCCTCCAACTGAAGGGGCTGGGGGAGAGCGCTGCCTCCCACACTCTATTAAGATAGTTGACCACATGGGCCGAGCAGCCCCCACCTCCCTGGGGCCTCTACTTTCATTTCCAAGTCTTGGCTTCCAGGCTTCTGGGGGGACGGGAAGGAGAGGGGTGGCAATTTCTAGGATTTTGTGCTGTGGCCTGGGGAGGACTGGGAAGGCTCATTTCTCCACCCTGAGACCCAAACCCCCAAACTCCTTTGCTCCAAGGGCTACCTAAATGGCCCCCTGGCTCCCGCTCTCGGCCTCTTCTGGAGTTCCACTTCTTCATGCCCAGGCACCATCACTCCGGTTCCTAACTCCTCCTGGGACCCTGTCCTCCCTGGAGAGAAGGAGGTGGGGGTGGGCTGAGCAGGGGCCTAGTGTGCTCTGGAGGATGGGTGACAGGGTCCTGCCTTGCAGGCCAACAGACCACTGGGCCCCATGGCCTTCCCGTGGCTTTTTGTTTTCATCCACCTCCACCTGGTGGCTCTTAAAGGAAAAGCTCCCAGCCCAAATAAACACGCCACAATTATGGCCTCATCCTTCGGCTGCAGGGCTCACATTTTTTTCAGCAAATTGTGCAAATCAGAAAGCTCCAATCTCAGAAGTGGAAGAAAGGAAGGGAATGAAGTCCTGGATGTGGACTGAGACCAGAGAGAGCCTAGAGAGAGTTACTAATCATCCCTGAGTCTTCATTCCCTCTATCTTTTAGCATCTGCAGCCACCTTGCCCACCCCCACCATCCTGTAGCCACGTAAATGTCTCCAGTCTCTAGCCTGCATAGAAACCATTGCCCTGGGGCCTGTTCTCCCTCAATCCCCCTTCCCCACTCTCCCCCATCACCCAAAACCAAAACAAAACAAACTCTGGCCAGACTGAAGACAGACTTTCCAAGAACTTGTTTCTCTCTCTCAAACACACCAGCACACATGTGTACATACTCACTGCCCAGCCCCATCAGCAGCCTGACATCCTCAGACAGGCCTTCAGAGGCCAGGGAGGGCTCTGCAAATGCTTTTTCCCCTTCTGGCCAGGCTGCCTGACCCCAGAAGTGGTGAAGAGGCCTGAGTGGGGCTCGTCTGGCTGCAAAGAGAATTCAGTGTTCCTGCGTCCAGGCAGCACAGTGACGTTTGAGGTGGGGGCGGCAGGGAGCGTATTGGTCTCCTCTGCACAGGCTTCTGGTGAGCACTGAGGACTGGGAGGAGCCCAGGACACCCCCTGCATGCCCCCTAGTTTCTCTAAGCAAGGCCCCATCCCTCCCGCAGGGGGAGACTGTCAGTCACCAGGGAAGAGAAGAAATAGAAGAAAGAGACATACTGGAGAAGTTGACCATTGCGAACTGCTGACACCTGTCCCCGGTGTATCCCACAGGACACCTACCAAAAGAAAGAAAACCAGAAAGAGAGAGCCAGGATAGCAAGACGCAGGCATCGCCACACCCCGGCACGGGCTCCTGCCAATGCCAGCTGGGCTCCTGGCCACCGTTACCATTTGTACTGGCCTTGCCTCTCGCCCCTTACCTGCAGCCCTGAACTTTAAACCCAAGGATTAGGCCAAAAATGAAAAACAAAGCAAAACAAAACAAAACAAAAGAACTAACAAACCAAAATACAAAAAAGAAAAGAGAAACAAAACAAAACAGCCAAAGATCAAAACAACCAACACCCCTGGTCCTATGCCCTACATTGGGGGGACTGCACCCGGAAGCTTTCTAAGGAGCGGGGACTCGTGTTTGTATCTTCAAACATACTTTGCTTAGGATCTGGCATGTACAATCGCAAAGGCAGTTTCTCCAAACATCTCTGTCCGAAGAATCCGTTTGGACATCTGGAGAAGGAAAAGGGGAAAAATCACAGAACAAACTGGCATCATCCGCGAGGCTCAGGTTAGAAATCAAAGTGCACAGTGATGAGTGAGAAAACCGAGTTGGGCACTGGGGCACACTTGTCCTGAAGGGGCTGCAGTCGGGGCTGGGGGTGGGCTCGGAATCTCCCTCAAAATCCCTCTAACAGATGTGGCTCCGTGGGTGGTGGGGGCGGCCATGGGGTGGGGAGGAGGATGACTTGGGGAAGCAGGGTGGGGGAATTGAGAACTTACTGCCTAATTGTCCTAATGGTTGTTGAGACTTCCCTTCTGACCTGCCTGGGGCCCCATGAAGCCCGAACTGTAGCCCCTTGGTGCCAGGCAGTGTGCAGGGAGCCTTCCGGAATCCCGAGTTCCGGGGAGCCACTCCTTCTGGGCCTCACCAAAGGCTTCTCTCCAGGGCCCTGGGCAGGTTTTCTCATCCATGAAACAGCCCCCAGAAAACTCAAAGGAAAACTCTGGAATGCTGTTCCCAGACTGTGTGCCCATGACAAAAGGGACCTTTGAGATGTCTCATCTGTTCTCTCAAAGAGGGTTCTGTGGCCAAATAAATTTAGGAAATCCATTCCCAGGCTTCCTTGTAGAGTTGCAGTATGTGCTGGCATATGAAAGGCTATGAAAAGTTTTGTAGGAGGAAAGAGCTGAACTTTCTAGTATATCCCAAATTTATTTGACCATGGAAGTTGTTTTTTGAGGAACCCTTGTGAATATAGTTTGGGGAAGGCTGCCCTAGAGCAATATACATGGGAAAAGCTTAGTGGGGAACAGGTGAGGCTGGAGGAGCCAGAATCACCAGCATCCCAAAGCTGGCGTGCCAAGGCCAGGTGCAGGGCATGTGGCCTCAGGTGCCAAGAACCACAATGGGGGCTACAGCAGGCTCCCTGGGACCCCTGCAGCCTATTCCACATCAGGGGCCTACTGGCTGCCTGGGACACCTGCCCTTTCCCTATGACCTGCTCCTCTCTCACTGCCTGGCTCTGGTGGGAGCTCACTCTCCCATGTGGCCTCCTCTAGAGCTGCAAACTACCACCCCTTTCCATCTCCCTGACCTTGTCCTTACCCCCAAGGTGCACTTCCTTCTGCTCTCTGGATGCCACTCTGCCCTCAAGTGAGTCCCTGTCTTGAAGATTTCTGGGAGACATGCCCAGCCCTACACTCTTTTCTGAACCCCGGCAGAGCCAAATACCTAAGGGAAGCTTACTGACAGGGCCAGACTGACCCTTCTACCCCCTTACTCAAAGATGGGTCTATGCTGCCTCTGCCTCTTCTTCCTTTGGAAATTAGGTAAGCCCATCACCAGTGTGCCCTGAATAAAAAAAAAGGTCATTGTTCACCATTAATCAGTAAACTTCCTCAGAGGTGAGTGTACTCTGCCTCTGAGCATTCTAGTGCATACCAATCATCAATAGCCACCTGAGCTTATAGGGAGTCATGGCCATTGGCTGTGACAGACACTCACGAAAACCCTGGGGCCCCTAATCTAGCCTGGAGGATTGGGAGTGGCTGGCAAGCAGACAGCCAGAGTTTCTCTTGGCCTTGAGGGCATCTCCCTCAGGGGAGGTGGGAGGCTGGTCCTGCAGTGGTGGCTGTGTGTGCAGGTAGGCCTGGCCAGCAGGCAGTGGTGGAGGGCTGGGAAGTGTGTCTGGAGAAGGTGGGGGGGCTACAAATGAAGGTGATGCATGCTCATCCCGTTGAACAGGGTGGCTTGGAGGAGGAGGCTACCACCTTGTCAATGCATCCTTCTCTGATCCCTGGCCTTCGTCCCCAATCATCCCAGCCCAGGAAAACGGAGGTAGCGGCTAAGGCTTCCCAACCAGCTCCAGTCAGGCTCAGCTCTTCTTCCTCAGCTCTCGGAAACTAATGTCCACTTGGGATGGGGAGTAGAGGGGGAGAAGTGAATTTACGAGAAGCAGCACTTTTAAGGGTGAAGGAAAAAGACCCAGGAAGTTGCCAAAATCACTCTTGGAATCCACAAAGGAACCAGAAAGAGATAGGTTTGACTGTGTCCAATGTCTGAGATTAGCCCGGCTCTTGGAGACAGGGAAAACCTCTGTGTGTGTGTGTGTGTGTGTGTGTGTGTGTGTGTGTGTGTGTGTGTGTGTCTGTGTGTGTTGGAGAGAGAATGGAGGAGTGCAGGGGCAGGAGGGGACAAAGGGGAGACTTGTTCCCACTGCTGACAGTTAGGGATGCTGTCCCACAGCTCTAGGAGACAGATGATAACTAAGCACACCCCTGCAACCCTAATCCCACACCCAGCCTGGACTACTCCGACAGTATCCTCATATCTTTCATGGCCACTGAACTGCACAACTCCAGGTGGCCCTGTGGACACGGTTTATAACACGAACATGTCCCCTGGAGTTGTGCAATATCATCCTAACCTTCCTGCCCTGAGTAAGTGTGGTCCCCACTGGCTGAACAAAAGAAAAGGCAGTGGGGGATGGGCATAGTGTGGGGGTGGGAAGACTGAAACCCCATGCTGTTCTTGGGGCACTGGCTCCTTCCAGGGGGCTCCTGGACAGTCCTGTTCTTGCCTTAGTCCTGCTTGTTGAGGATGAGCCACGTCCAGGAGGCTGGGGCTTCCCTAGAGAAGGCTCTGTGGGTGGGCCTACAGCCTGTCTACCCTGCACCCTGGACCAGGAAATAGGGTGCAGGCTACATTAGCCTATCAACCAGAAGGGGGTCTGAACTCAGCATGGGTGGCTGGCTGTTAGTGGGTGGGTTCCCACTCAAACAGGGATTGACCCTCTGAGTTTTAGGGGCACAGGGGACAGATGAGAAGGAGCGGCAGGTAACAGCCTTCCCAGCCCTTCCCCCCAAGTCATCAGCTGTGACTACGGGAAGGTCTGTGCCCAGGGCTGGAGAAGAGCAGGGGTGAGAGAGGGGCAGAGAGGAGAGCCCACGGGCTGCATCTGGGGTGACAGAGAGGTTGGGACTCTGCCTCCCTGTTTTCCCACCCCACCTCCTGGGCCTCAGTTTCTCCTTTTGGTAGCCTGGGGATAATGCCATGTGTGCTGCCCTCACCCAGAGGAGGGGGAGGATGAAGGATGAGGGTGTGCCCCAGGCACTGGAGAGAGTGAAGGGTCTCTGGTCTCATGAGGGGTCGGGTGGAGATGTGGAGAGGATGGGCAGGCAGATGGGTATGGGATGGGGGAGTCAGCTGAACATGGGTGGGGCAGGGGGAGCAGAAGGGATGGGGGGATGAGCTGATGGGAAAGGGAGGCATGCTACTGGTATGTGCACAGGGCTGGAAAGAGAGTCTTGTTCTGTCATCATCCCCTGAACCAGTCCCCAAGAGTCACGCACCAACCGTGCTCTACAAAAACACCGAGAGAAGAGGAGAAAGCAGCAGGAGGAAGTGCAGAGGCCCCCGTCTGGCCCAGACAGGACACGGTCACCTCGATTTGGACTCCCATTTTCAAATCCCCCTAAATTTTCTTTTTTAGAACGAAATTCAGTATCAGTGACACTGTTTCTTTTGGCTCTGAATTCCAGAAAAACAGGAGGGATGGAGTGTGCCTGCTTTCCAACACTCTCTGCAGGGCTCTGAACCAATACACAACAACAAGTGTCAGAAAACCAGGAAGGAAAACTGATTTTTATAGAAACTGGAATGAAACTGATCAGTCTAGTTTCATTATCCAAGCTAAGCGGAAATGCAAAAAAATCAAAATAAAAAGTAAACAAACAGCACAAATGGTAAGACGTGAGTTCCGTTTCCTAAGTTCTTTGCTTTTTATTCCATTCAGGTGTCATCAGGAACCCCAAGAGGCCTGCCCCCCTTCCCTCCCGGCTTACCCACCCCCAGAATGGCCTCAGGGTTCTGCCCTGCCCCCCTCCCCCTGCCCTTCTCCAGCACAGCTCTGAGGACCTGCCCTCCTGACCACAATCCCCACCAGGGACGCCCCTCTCCCCTGAGGGCTCACAGAGTCAGGGAAGGTGGTTCCAGGAGCCCTGGCTGGGGCTGACCCAGGGTAGTCCTAAGCTCCTGAGATAGGGAGGTGGCAGTTCTGGGTACCATGTCCAAGTTCTAAGCAGTGAACCCGGTTGCCGTGGTGGGGAGGGGAAACAGGACACCATCTTCACAATGGCTCAGGCTCCTTCCCTCTGCTCCTCTCAGATTTAGCTGGGTGGGACCCAGAGGGTCCTAGGGGTACAGCCTTGCGGGCAGGGCCCTCTGGGAGCCCATATAGCTCATCACTCCCCTTCCACACTACACTCGAGCACTGGAGCCTGGGCTCCATGGCCCTCCTCAGCCCTGGCACCTGCCCTGGGTTGCTGAAACCATCCCTGCCTGGAGCTGGGGCTGATTTCAGCGACAATGCTGGATCCCTTCAAGGTTCTGGGGTCCAAGGCGCTAGGGAGGAGGAGAGGCCTGGTGTGTGTGTGTGTCGGGGGGCACAAAAAGAAGGGAGTGCAGGGCTGGGCGGTCTCTGTGAGGGATTCCAGAACCCTTTTGAGTTTCCATAGATCTATTCCAAAGAGCTCAGAGCATTTTCAAGGCTAGAATGTTCCTCAGGGTCTGTAGCACTAATGTCGCTGCCTCCTAGAGGCAGAATGAAGGAAAGGATGAGGGGCTGAGTCCAGGCTGAGAACTTCCCTTGGGCCCTGCTGTTGCTGCTGGGACTGTCCCTCAAGATTCAGGATGGGGAAGCCAGGAAGGCGATGGCGGCACGTGGAGGGTGGGGCTGGGGAGGAAGCCAGCACAGGAGGCCAGCTGGGGCACGAGGCACAGATCTGCCTGGCAGTTCAGGCCCAGCTAGCCCAGCGCTGAGGGGAGAGTGTGAAGGAGGCACAGCCCAGCCCCTCGTTATCACATTGTGAAGCGGGGAGGGTGTCTTTAAAAGTCCCAGCCAAGGCTGTAGTCAGGAGGGAGAGCAGGAGAGCTGAGGAGTGCTGAAGCTGACCTTGTCTGTGGGGAGGGCAAACGCTTCTCTCTGAATCTCCATCAATACTCTAGTAGCCTTGGCCCAGATGCCATGGGAATGGGGCAGCTTTGGCACCTTGCCAGAGCCCTAGGCTTGGGCTGCTTTGAAAACCCCAAGTTGTTAACTAGCCCCCACCTCCCACTCCTCCTCAGGATCCGGCCAGAACCTGTGCTACCCTCACCACGCTCCTCCCACCTCCTTGTTCACCCATCAGGGAATCTGTCAGGGGGCACTGTGGGCCCAGCTGCCCAGAAGATCTGGCTGGGCCTGAACAAGCCCTCCCTGATTACTAGGCTCCTGCCTGCCCTGTTTGCTAAGGGGAGCGGGTGGTCCTAAGCTCCTGGGAGGTCCTGCTGCGGCAGCCCTGCCTGGCTGGAGAGCAGGCTCTGGCCCTTGGGGAGGCAGAGAAGCCCCAACTTGAGCTTCTCCTCAACCCTGACCTTCCCCATTGGGCCACAGCCAGAGTGGCATCCTTGCTGGTGTCCCTTCACCCCAGAGGGAGGGGCTAGGGGCTGAAGGGGCACAGGCAGCAGTCAGGGCATATCTGGACCCTGGGGTCTTGCCGGTCAGGAAGAGCAGCCAGGTCCTGAGGCGAGCACTAGGGGCAGAGCCCTCTTCTCCTCTCAAGACTACAAGAGCAGACCCTCAGCTACCAAGGGCTCTGGGACCTGTGCGCTGCCTGACCTGCCAGGCTCCTCACTGCTGGGGAAGACACACCCTGGGAAATGTTCATCAGAACAGTTTGGAGAGTTGCTGAGAGATGGGGAGGGGAAAAGAGGGAGAAAGAGAGAGAGAGAGAGAGAGAAAGAGAGAGAGAAAACACCCAGTGCCCAGTGACTGGGCATTGACTGGCATCCTCGTCTCCCTAAAAGGTGTTGGTAAAGGGTGGACATCGGGAGATGGGGTGGGGCCTGGAAAACTAAGACTGCAGAAGCCTTGAGCCCTTCAGAGCTTACATCTCCCTAAGTTCCAGGAAAGGGCTAGGAAGTGGTACAAACCTCCCTGTCTATACCCCTTGGGGACTCCCTGTCAGTGGCTTGAAGCCCAATTTTCCTAGAGCCTTCCACTTCTGCCCCAGCCTCTCTCACCCTACTCTTGTCCCCATGCCCGCCCCCACTGGCCACTTACTTGCAGGAGAGCTGGTTGATGCCCTCGATGTAGTAGCAGACGCCTCCATTGACACAATAGGACTTGGCTGTCTCGTTGCACTTCCGGGCATGCCCCGACCAGGAGGACAGAGTGGTGCTCACTGGAGGTATGAGAGACACGTGCCAGTGACCCACTGAGACCACCTCTGGGCCTCAGGAATCATCTCCTTCATGGCCCTTCATGGCCCATCTCAAAGCTGGAAGATCAGAGACTGCAGAAATGGCTGGGGTGGGAAGGTCTGGTGGTCCCCCCCCAGTCACCAACCAGGCAAAGGGGACGCCACTGTGAGCTCTGACCATCTGCCTGGCACCATCCGGCACCCGTGCTCTGGGCAAACCTCCAAAGACCAGGAAGATTTTCTTTTTTTGGAGGTGGTGTGAGGCTAGCAGAAACTGCTCCCTCTACTGGAATAAGGGCCCTCTGTTCCTTCCCTGCCTGCCTTTCTGGGGGTTCCACTGCAGAGGGATGAGACAGCACTGTCTTATGTGGGGAACAAAGTCACGGGGGTGCAGAGAGGAGACAGCTACATCGTCTGCATTGCTCGGGCTCTCATGGTGGACCAGGGGGTGGCTGGAAGGGAGCTGGGCTTTGAGGGGAATGGCACCTTTCGGACACTGCCATTTTCTAACATCTAGGGAGATGTGGGGAGACCCTTAGCTTCAGTCTCTTCCCCTTTTGTCCCAGGGAGGGACATGCCTCTCAAGAATGTGACAAAGGCCACTATGTCCATCTCCATAAGCATCCAGGGTCTTCTTCATGTTCGCCCTCGCCAGGCAGCCCCATCTTCCCACACCTGGTCAGCTGCTGTCGCTGGAGGGAGCCTCCAGGCCTTGGACAGCCCAAGCTACAAATCCCAGGCTTCAGGTTGCTGGGGGGGAGATGGGCTGCGGACAGCCGCGATGTGAAAACCAGGTGAGGGCAACACAGGGCTTTAAGGCTGCTCACCCAGACTGCACATCTGATTGATCAGATTCATTTGATAAATGAAAATAACTAAAGCCCTCCTCCCCCAGGGGATGGCATACAGAAAGCTGGTTTCAAATGAGAATTCTTGCCCCAAATGTCAGTTTGCACCTGTAAGCTAACCTCTGAGGCTGGTATCCAGATTGGGCAGCCAGAAACGAGTTCTGCTCTCCCCTCAGCCTCTGGGGCTTTGGGGCCTCTCACCCCCATCCAGCAGCGGCCTCCTGACTGAGGTAGCCCATCCTACCTTGGCAGGTCCTGTCTCCTCAGGGGTTCTGAGTCTCTACCACCCCCTGCAGTCATGGGGCGTGAGAGGAGGAGGAGGAGGGCAGGCACTTGGCGCCCTCAGTGTTTAGACATGTGGGGAGACAGATGGAGCGCGGGGACTGGGAGTGTATACACAGCTCTGCCTCTGTATATGTCTGAGCAGCTCGCTGATAAAACCCAGCGGGCAGGGCCAGCTCCCACCTTCCGCTCCACATCATGCCTGCTGCTGATCTGGCATCCTTGAGCCCCACCCCTGCTGAGATCTCCCGTCTACGCTCCACCCCACACCCAGCTGGGACCCACATGCTGGCTGGGAGAGGAGGCCTCCCGCTGGTCTCTGCTCCACTTCTGGGTCAGTGAGACCCAGGGAACTAAGAAAGGGACAGAGAAGAGAAATAGCTGAGGTGACCACGCCTGCGAGTTGTAAAATCCCATTCTGGGATGACCCTAGAAGTTGTCCTGCCCCTCGGTTACATTGCCAAGGAGGAGTGAGGAAAGGGAGCAGTGAAGTGCCTGTCCAGAGTCACAATGTGTGTTGTGACAAGGGCTCAGGGCTCCTTGTGCCTGGTTGAGCATTCTTGCCAGCCACCCGGTCCCTCGTGGAAGAACGTGTCAACACCAAGGCTTGACATAAGCAGATGAATGCAAGCACGATGTGGACCACAGGCCTGAGTCCTCTCATGGGCCTTGGCTAAGCCAGAGAAATCTTGGCTTGGACCTGCAGGCCCAGCTTGGCTCCCACTGTAGTCACAGGTGGCAGAGCCTTCCCATTGCTGCGCTGGGTGAGCAGTGGACAGCAGCAAGGATGGTGGCAGAGACCAGAGCTGCACAGTTGGGCCTGTCCACATGCATGTCTGTGCTCACTGAGGCCTTGGGAGGCAGAGGACAACTCCAGAAGGAAGACGGGGCCCCAGCTGGGATGCACTGGCCTGGGCTGCCAGAACCACGTCATCATTGGGACAAGGCTGGGGCCCCCGGAAGGCAAAAAGGGAGGGCAATGAGGGAGCCAGTCACAGAGGGTGGGTGGAGGGGAAGTGACCAAAGGCCTTTCCACCTCAGAAAGAAGTACACTGAGGCCACCCCTCTGTGACAGCAGGGCCTTCCCAAGTCACTGCAGACCAACTCTGCTGGTGGTGAAGGCCCATGCTAGGAAGATTTCCACACTGAAGATGTACATTCATGCTGTTCCAGCACATGTGGACTCCCAAGGCAACACGTCTACACTCCTTTGTCAGTGTAGCCATATTCACTGTGTTCTCCCGTGTGGGGAAGTGAAGATGACATATGGACTCCAAGTTGGAGAGTCTGGCTGCTCCCTTGACACTTCCACTGGGATGACTCTGAGCCACCCCAAACTCAGCTCCCCATCATCTGCTCCAGCCACTTGCTTCTCCAGTCTTGCCCATCTCAGTGACTGAATGGCACAAACAAAGACCTAGAGGCATCTTTGATTTCTCATCCTCCTTTGTTGCGCCCAGCCATCCATCACTGAGGGCTGCCTTTCTCCCTCCTCATGAGGCTCCATCCATGTCTCACCACCCCTCCCCAGCCCAGGCAGCCATGGTCTCTTTCTCGGATGACCACAGTAGCCTCCTCACTGGTCTTTCTACCGCCCTCTGCCTTCATCTCTAACCTTCTTACTTCGCAGCTGCCCAAGTGGTCTTTAAAATATATAAATTGATCAATCACTTCCATTATCAAAACCTTCCAATGGTTTCCATTTGCACTCAGAATAAAGTCCCCCGACTCTTCCCCACGTCTAATCTGGGCCTCACCACCTCTCCCGCTTCACGTCCCATCCCTCTCTTGCAGCATGTTGAGACTACACCAGCTTAGTCCAGCTCCTCTAACAAGCCCAGGACTTTCAAGCCCAGTGACCTCCTGCCCAGGACTTTCAAAATATCAGTATCTCAGGGAGGCTGCTCAGGCTCCTCCCCTACTCTTTCTCTTAGCTTCTTATACTTATACTTATACTTATTCTAACATAATTAAATGACTAGTGCAATTACCAGCTGTTTAAAGCTTAGCCCCTCCACTAGAACGTAAGGTCCATTTGGGCAGTGGCCATCTCTGTCTCGTTCACCACTGAACCCCAATGTCTAGCAAAGCGCTTGACACACAATAGGTACTTAACAAATATTTATAAATATTTCTAATGAGCAAATGAACATCTGATTCTTTTTACCACCATCCCAGGGGCCGGGCTGGTCTCCTTGGCTGATGATAACTTTTCTGTAGATTAAAGCATTATCTCCTATTAAATGCAAACATTCCTGGGAGGTCATTAGGGAAATGAAAATCAAATCCACAGTGAGATACCACTTCACACCTACTAGGGTGGTTATACTAAAAAAGATGGATAATAACAAATGGTGGTGAAGATGTAGAGAAACTGGAACCCTTGTACATTGCTGGTGGGAATGTAAAATGGTGCAGCCACTTTGGAACACAGTCTGGTAGTTCCTCAAAAAATTAAATATAGAGTTACCATATGACCCAGCAATTCCACTCATAGGTATATACAGAACTGAGAACATATGCCACACAAAAACTTGTACATGAATGTTCATATCAGCATTATTCATAATAGCCAAAAAGTGGAAACAACCTGAATGACACAACCACCCAAATTGATGAATGGATAAACAAAATGTGGTATATCCATATAATGGAATATTATTGAGCCATGAAAAGGAATGAAATTATGACACATGCTACAACATGGATGAACTTTGAAAACATATGTTAAGTGGGAGAAGCCAGTCGTGAAAGACTACATATAGTATGATTATATTTATATGAAATGTCCAGAATAGGTAAATCCATAGAGGCAGAAAGTAGATTAGTGGTTGCCAGGGGCTAGGGGGAGGGAGAAATGGGGAGGGACTGCTGATGGGTATGGGAGTTCTTTTTGAGGTAATGAAAATGTTTTGGAATTAGTGGTGATTGTTTATACAACTTTGTGAATATACTAAAAACCACCGAATCATATACTTTAAAAAGGGTGAATTTTATGATGTGTTTTAAATTATAACTAAAAAAATTTGATTTAAAAAATGCCTGGGAGGGGTAATCCCAGAAAGCCTTTATCAGCCATTAGTGTCTTGGTGTGAGTGGGTTTATCAGGCCCTGAGAGTGAGAATGGGCCAGGTGGTGTGCTGGGGCTGAAGAGACTGACTCCCTGCTGCCAGCTACTGCCACAGCTTTCCCCGCTTGCTCATGGAGAAAACCTCTCTTTATCTTTCAAGGCCCAGATCAAGTGTCTCTTCATCCATCAAGGCTCCCCTCCCACCTGTCCGGCATGTCCCCTTTCCCTTCGGTAAAGTTGCCCATCCTTCCTCTTCAGTGTGTTAAAACAGGCAGATGCTGAGTTCAGTTTTTAGCTTCCTGTTGTTTGAGAAACTTTGTTGGGAGCCAAGACTGTGACTCCCCAGAGCTCAGAACAGGGTCTTGCTGAGTAAGGCCTTGCTGGATGCATGAGAGAGAGTGCATGTGTGTGTGCATGTGTGTGTGTGCATGCGTGTGTGTGTATGTGATTAAAGCTGGCCTTTTGAGGTCCCCAGGTAAGAGACAGGCCCAGAAGTCCTCTCCAGGGCCTCCATGGTCCTGTGACACCCCAGGTCAAATCTGCCTGCCCTCTGGGGTAAAGCCACGCCCAGCCTGACATCCTGGGACTGGTACAGCCACACCGGGACATTCTCAAGTACTCTTTCACCTGGGGATGAGGCAGCTGGTTTCTCTAACTCAGAAGTGGGTTGGACCAAGCTGATTGTTTTGATAAAAGCGCTAAAACCTTCTTGCTGACTCCTCCTGCTCCCAGCCAACTCAGGAAAGCAGTCTCTTGTGACCTGGCAGGGCTGAGACTGCAAGAAGGGTCTGCTCTGATCTGAGGAAGGACTATTGGGCTCCACTGGAACAGAGCTACAGTAGGCAGCCAAGAGCCACAGTGATGCCCCTGGAGCAGCCACTGTTCCTTGCCAGCCCTCCCATGCCCTCTTCTGGCTGCCCCACCCCTGTAACCCTGACTTCCCTGGGGCCCGGGCAGGCAAATCTTGGAATGAGTCAGATGGGGGCAGGCACAGCCGCCCGCTACCCACCCTCCACCCCCTCCCCAGGGTGTGGTTGCTGCAGGTCTTCTGGGTTCCACAGGTAAACAAGGAGCCTGGGCATCTCTGCTGGGAAAATGGTCCCAGTAGGGGCCTCCTGGTCCCCTGCAGTGGCCCTGTTCACCTCCCCACATCAAGGGTAGGCTCTTGCCTGCCACGGACTGAACAGGGCATCTGAAGAGGTGCCTACTGTCTGTATGTCTGGTGGTGGTGGTGGCTGGGTGCTCAGGATGCTAGCCTCAAAGTCAAACTCAGAATCCTGGAATTTTAGGGGGAAGGGGCTTAGAGATCATCTAGCTCAGCCCTAGGGGAAAACAGAAGACTAGGGAGGTGGAGTAACACACCCAGGGTTGCATGACAGAGCTGGGATGAGACCAAAGTTCTGGACTCTTTCCACTGCCTTGTCCTGCTGCTCTCCTGCCAGGCTGGAGGGACAGGAGGCAAGGAGCCCTGTGGGAAGCCCTCAGGGCCCAGCTCAAAGCTCCACTGTCTGGTTCCCTAACTGATCAGAACATGGGCTGCTGAGGGCTGACAGGAGTCCACGTGTGGGGTGTGGCTGCAGCTTATCCGAGGGGTCTCATAACCGCCCCCAGCCTCAGGCCCCAAGCCCTGTGCAGGAGATAGGGTACTACTATGATTTCTGCATGGTGGCCCTTCCCTCTTCCTCTGCTAACAGCACCCCTCTAGGAAGGGCCCCTCGTGCAGTTCTGGCAGGGCCAACACTCACAATCCTCTGCCTCTCAATACCCCCTCTGCACACACACAAAGGCCTGGCAAGGATGGCACCCCATCCCCCTGAGCACAGTGACCAGGCCGAGCGGGGCACGTGGCCTAAGCAGGGTCAATTGGAATCCATCCTTGTGACTGTATGAATGGACACAGAGACAAAGCTTTCTCTTTTCTTGGGGTGGTGGGCTGGGATGACCTAAACCCAATCCATTCCCCAAACACGGGAGAAGCCCACTTTACAGCAGGAGAGAATGAGGCCCACACACAATGGGAGAGAGTATCCTGACCATACTCTGATTTCTTGGACTCTCTCATGTCTAGGGCTGGTTCTACCTCTGGACTTCTCAGTTTTATAAACCAAGAAATAGATTCCTTAAGGTAGTCTTAAGTTGGGTTTTTGTCAGTTCTAACTAGTAAGTCTTGAATAACAAGCCAGGAAACCTCAAAGCCAAAGTGGATCTGAGAATGTCTGCTCACTATGGCTGGAGGCAGCAGGTGCTGGCCCCCTGGCATGGTCCATTTTCCCAGGCTTGGGACAGCTTGGGAGGAGCAGGGGGGCCCAGGTACCCCCACTGCAACCATGCTCAGGGATGGGGATGAGGGAGCCAGTAAAGGCCGTGGAGCGGGTTCTAAGTCCTTTTATTTACCAGGTGCCTACTATGAGCCAGGCACTGTGCTAGGCCCTGAGGCCAGACTGGTAAACAGGCTAGACATAGCCCCATGGAGCTCATGGTCTCAGTGTTCGCCAACTACTCTTACACTGTATAGCTCTATCATTTGGCTTTGGGTAGAATAGTTAACCTCTCTGAGCTTTAGTCTCATAACTTATAAACTACACCACAGGCTTGAGTAAGGGCTCAGGAGATAATGTGGAGCCTGGCACAGAGCACGCTCTCAGTAAATAGTAGCTATTATTGTAACTCCTGGGGAGAAGGCGTCATCACTGCTCTCCCTACTCCTGGGCTCACCACTCCACTGGGGAGGTCACACCCGCAGAGAAAGCTGAGCAACAATATGAGAGCTGAAGAGTGACCTCACAGAATTCAAGAGATACACAAAACCATGGTTGGCCAAGAAGTGGCCCAGGAGTGGGGCCCAAGCTGGGAGTGATGCTGCCCTGGGTAGGAGGGAGGAAGGCTGCCTGGGAGAGATGGCACGGGAGGAAGAATAAGAATGGGATGGACAGGGCTGGCTGTAGTTAGGGTTGGAAAGATCGTCTGGGCCAGACTGGTGAGAGCTGGGCTGTGGGCTGAGCTTGTCCTGTGGCTCTGTGGGTGGGGGCATGACAGGATGAAAGTGTCTTAATAGGCCCTTACTCTGGTTCAGGTGAGTAGGGATGAAACCTGGGCCAGGGTTGCCCCTGAGGTGGGGCTAGAATGGAAGAGCCAGGTGTGAGAAAGACCCAGAAAGCAGACTGACCAGGACTTAGAGACTCAAGACCTGTTAGATACAGTGGCAAGGGAGACAGAGAAGCCCAAGAGGCTGGGAGAACAGGGGCATCCCTCACAATACAGGACAGACAGGGTCCGAGCCAGCTTTTCCTCTGAGGGTCCTAGGGCAGCCAATGTTCCAAGTTCTCTTTACACAGTGCTAGGTTTAGGGAGTACTGGAAGGCTGTCTGGTGGAAACAGGGGTGGGCCAAGATGGATACAGGATTAGACTCTGTGAGAGGGGCAGGACTGGAAGTGAACCCCAGTAACTGGGTGGCCAAATGGTATGCTCAGTCTGTGGGTGTCGGGAGGAGGAAAGAGATCTGTGGGATTTGGAGTACTCCAGCTAGAGTGTAGGGGGTGTGGCCTGAGGACAGGCAGCTTTGGCAACTTTCCAGTCAAGGGAAGCAACCAGGCCTCAGGAGGGCAGGGCAGCAGGGAGGCGGTCGCCAGGCTGAAGCTGGAGCCGCCACTGTGGAGAGGGGAAGCTAAGGTGCTGTGAGCTCCCGACCTTGCAAGTCTTCAAGGGAGAGGATGACCTGAGGGGAGGGGCCTGCCATCCCTGAACAGAGGCTGCCCTCAGGGGCTCAAGGCACCCAAGCCTCCCACCCATGGCCCTGCGCAGACGGCTGCCTGCAGTCAGCAGCCAGCAAAGCGACAGGCAACAGGCAGTCGGCTCGCACACGCCCGCCCGGGGCCTGCCTCTCCTTGGAGCCCTGCTCCTGGCAGCCCAGCCTCCCATAATTGCCTTCTAAAAATATCCTTCCCTCACCCCCACCTCTTGATTTCAAAATATTTAGTTTTCAGGGTATTTAAAATAAGAGCTGGCGGCTCTTCCAGGCCCAGATAACAAAGCTAAACATTTATGCTTTGGCTGCATTTCTCTGAATCAGCCCAGATCTCGGGCCTTGATATGGCAGCAGCAGAAGGGAGGGGAGTCAAGTGCGAGACGGATCATGTGCGGGCCTCTCAAGGGCTGGGGGGCAACTGGCCTGCCCTGCTGAACCCCTCTAGGATCCCTCCCTTCATTTGGGGGACCACCTACCGCTGTTGACGTGGAGCCGGCCCCGGACTGTGTCCTTCCCCAGGATGTTCTCGGCCTCGCAGACATATTCCCCAGCGTCCTCCACCTTCACCTTGTTGAACTGTAGTCGTGAGTTCTTTCTGGTTAGGGGGGGACAAGAGGGGGAGAGGCGTGAGCCAGGGCCCGGGCTGGCTGTTGCTCCCCAGCGGTCACCCGGCGGTCACCTCTTCCTGCAGAGCCACAATGGCTGTGCAGGGTGGATGGGAAGTAGATTCTCTCTGACCAGCCATTTCTGGGGTCCATGTGGAATGCTGAGTCCCTGGAGCTGGAGGGAGACCTGGGCACTCAGGAGAACACAGGGCGGGGCTAGTGCTACACACATGTTCTAAATCTATGCATCCCCACATCCACTTTTCCAGGGCTGGACCTTCTTTGTAACCATTTTTCTGGGGGAGGAAAGTGCAGTCCCTTACGAAGTCACATGGCCACCTCCTTCCTCTTCTTTCAATGCCCCTCTCCCATTCCCAGTGTCCCCCACCCCCCAACAAAGAAGCCACTGGCTTACCAGCTACCTCAGCCTTCCCTTAGAAGTGGCAGCTTGTCACTCTCGATATGCAAGGCCCATTTCCAGGTACCTGGGAGAGCCTATGTTCTAATGAGTTCCTATGGAAACTGTGCCCAGCCTCTCAGTCCCAACTTCTCCCCTGCCTTCATGTCAGCCCTGCCATTAGGGGCACTCTGTGGCCTCTCCAAGACGTTTTGCAGCATTCATTCATCCTTTCATTCAACAAATGTTTACTGAGAGCCTTCTGTGCTAGAAGCTTGGACACCTCAGGGAACAAAAAGATCCTAATCCTTGTGGCCTGACTTGACCCTCACGGTTAATCTGGAGATGGACAGGGAAGTACAGATGGGAAAACTGAGTCCTACAGGGGCTTCTGGGCTTGTCCAAGGGCACCCAGCAAGGCAAAGGCAGAGGTGGATGAGGAGTTGAAGTTGATGAGGACATGCGTCCTTCAGCAGCTCATAGACTATCTCCTGGAGCCTGATGCTGGGGCTAGCCCCCTCTGTGGATGACTTTGTACCAGGTCCCTGCATGCTGAGAGCTTTGGGGCCAGGCCTGGGCAGGGACTCCAGTGCTGTGACTCCAGGGCACCTGGCCCTAGTTCCCCTCTTCTTTCTGAAGACCCTGCCAAACCTCGCCTTCCTTCCCAGAGTTTCCCTGCACCTGCCCCAGGGTGCCTGGGCTCTGCAGGGTCTATTCACACTTCCCAACCCTCCCTCTGCCCCAGTGCTCTCCAGGGCCCATCTGAGCTCTGGATGAAGCCTGACCCCAGCCTGGCCCCCAGGGGGAAACAAGAAGTAGAATGAAAATTTCTTTACCTGATGTCACCTCTTCCTCTTTTTAGTCCTGAATTAAAACACCAGATTCCCAGAATATGCTTAGTGGGTTGGAGGGATGGTGGAACAGGAGGTAGGGCTGCCACGGCCCTGAGCCCAGGGATGTAAAACAGCCATGAAGCTGATGGGGGAAGGAGGACATGGGAGGTGAGTGGAGAGGCTGGGTCAGGGGTCGAGGAGATGGCAAACTGGCCCACATCCCTACCGGGGCTATGCTTTGGGGACCTGTATCCTGGGTTCCACCTCTGTCTGGGGTTGGCCTCTTCCCAGACAGCCTCACTTCAAGATGCCCCAAGCAAGTGTCCATAAGGTTGTCTTAACAATAGGCCCTGTTGCTGTGGCAATGTCCTCGCCATTTACAGTGACAGCTGAATCCTGAATCCCCCCCACCCTTCCTGGCTCAAGCCAGTCTCTTGTCTCCTTGGCCTGGTGTCTGCCTACAACCTCTTCTGTCAATTCAAGTTTGTTCCTTCATTAAACAGAGTCGTTGGACGTCCCTCTGGCTAAGATAGACTCTCCTTCCTGGCTCCAGCCTAATTAGATGCTACAAAGCCCGGCTGCCCCAGGACCAGGCTTCTCTCCCTTCCCGGCCACCAGCTCTTTCCTGACACTAGCTGAGCAAAGTAGGGGGTCACCTGAAGGTTGCAGGGTCAAGGTACAGGGGACAGAGAGCCAGAACCTTCTTGTCACCCAGAGCTAAATTCAAAGGAGCTTCCCTTACATGACATCATATGTAGCAAAACAGGCAGAGCTAGGCTCACAGGGTATCTGGAGGGATAGAAGCTAGAACTGGAAGAAAGAGCTTCCCACATGAAGGTAGGTGAGATCTCACCAGGGAGAGCCCCTCCCCTTTGAGGAACCAGAAAGAAGCAAGGGGACAGAAACAGTGATCCCTAGGTTTGCTGGTTGCAGGCACCTGGTTTACCAGCTGTGTGATGATCTGGCCAGTTCCAGGGAGGTGGGCCCCAGACTTGCATAGGAGGCTCTGGGGTCAGAGCTGAAGGGTGGGACTCTATGGGTCTCTCAGGCCCTGAAGGAGTGGGGGCCATTACATTCTCTTCTCCTGTCTCCTAGCTCCAGTCAGAAGCCCCAAGGACTGAGGACTCTCTTCTGCCTTCTTGGCAGGCTTGGTGCCCCCTCGCCATGATGACCCAGGCCTGCCCCTGCAGTGGACACCTCTCCCCTCCTTCCTCAGCCAGTTTTCTGCTGGCAGGGACAGGATCTGGGAGGCCACGTCGTCCACCCGTCCGCACATTTTCCTCAGTGCCTACCTCCCGCTGCCTGCCTGAGGGGCCTGTCCCAGCCTGCCCCTCATAAACAAGGGAACATGTGGTTCTGAGGGGATGGCCTCATGCCCAGGGCTTGGTAGGGGCAGTTTTCTCCTGGCACAGGAAGGCTTGGGGGAGACACCTCAATGCAGCAGCCTCAGAGATAGAGAGGACCCGCTAGGGAGGGGATCTCCGCATGGCAAGAGTGATGTCAAGACAGAGCGTGGCCTGGGCAGACAGAGTGCTAGGAGGGCCAGAGAACAAGCTGCAGTGTGGGCAGAAGAAAAGAGAAGATTCTGCCAGAAAGGAGACTTGCGCCCCTGGCCCTGGTCCCCATGCCAGGTGAAGTATGTGTATGGAGGTGGTAGCTCTCTCTGAGTCACAAGAGAATCAGAAGTTCATGGGGAATCAGAAGTTCTCTATCATGGTCCACTTTGCCACCCCATCAACCCACTGCTGGGAGCCCAGGGGCAGGATGGGTGGAGCAAGGAAGTTTCAGAAATGCAGCAGATGGGACAGGGCTCTGACAGGAAGGGGACAGGGGGCATATTTCAGGCTCTTAGGGGGTCCCCAATACCCAGGAGAAGAAGACCTGCCAGGCCCTGTTTCTGGACTGGGTGACTCATTTGTCAGATGAAACTGAGCTGTGACCAGGACAGTAACTTGCTCAAAGGCTAGGTCAACCCAAAGGGCGACCTGCTCAGTCCTAGTGTCACTCTGTGCCCAGGAGTGGAGAGCTAGTCCTGCAGGATTCTCATCAATTCAACCCTGAATGTAGATCTCCTCTGCCAGACCATACAGGGGAGAAGGGTGTGTAAGAGGAGGGCAGAAATTGAGGCTCTCTTATGCTAAAAGGAGAGACAGCCCCCCAACAATGCAGTGAAATCGTGTCTATGGCACCATGAGAGGAGACGACAAGAGCTGCCTAGAGGGCTCACGAAGATATCCCAGAGGACATGACATTTAAGCTGGGTCTTGGAGAACTTTTCCAGGGATGAGGGAAGGGGGTGAGGGATGGGGGATGGAGCTGTCATCCCAAGGAATAGCCTGGACCCAAGTCCAGGGTCATGAAAAGAAAGACCAGGGATCGCGAACAGCCAGGTATTGGGGAACAGTGGGGCGGTGATTTATAGGCCAGGAAGAGGAGAGTCAGAAGGGCCTCAAGGCCTGGGCTATACCTGGTGCATGGCAGGCTCTCAAGATCTGTCAAGTAAATGAATGAATGATCGGATATGTGCCCATGTTAGAAAAATGTGCCCCCATCAGAGTCATGGGGGTCAGTGACTCTGTAGACCTCTAGAATTGTAAGCAAAACTGGGTGGATAAGGCACGTTTTTTCCTGGAAGAAAGGGTCAAGGCCTTCAGCAGCTTCTATACTAGAAGCTAGACTAGGAACTCCATGCAGATAGGGACCATGTCTGTTCCATCCACTGGTGTATCTCCAGCCTCTGGCAGAGTGCCTGACACACAGTTGATGCTCAACATGTACATGTTAGATACAGAAATGAATTCACAAACGGGCCTGTGGCCCAGAAAAGGTGGGGATAGCCAGGAGTGGGACAGTGGAAGAAAAGAGGCAGAGAAAGCAGATAAGAAAAGTGCAGGGCAGGGAGAAGGGTGCCTCCTTCTGGAGACATGGTATCCGACTGGAGAGGATGACACAGGGGCAGGCGCTGAGCAGCAGGCAACCTGGTTCTGCCCCAGCTGAGATAGGAGCACAGGAGGGTGAGGCAGGGCCAGAGAGGGCAAGGGGGAGAGGCTAGACTGGAGCATCTGGATTAGAGATGTCTGTGGGTATCTCAGGGGTGGTATCTAGTGTTTAGCTGGCAGCTTGGGTCTGGAACTCAAGTAAAAAAAGAAAAAGCCATCAAACTAGAGATGGAGGCTTCAGGTCATCAGATCTGAGAGGGTGAAATTACCCACAGGTGAAGAAGGAGGGAGAGGAGGAGTGATGTCCCAAAGACAGGAAAGTTCCAGCATTGATGGCAACTGACAGAGAGTGGCTAGAGGCACAAGAGGACCAGGAGGAGGACCACAGGGAGAGGCGTAGGGCCAGGAAGCTCCGAGGTCGCTGGGTCTCTCAAGAGCCACAGCCATAGAGAGTGCTGGGGCTGTATTTACAGGGCCGATTCCAGGAGATCGAAGAGGAGTGGAGGATGAGGGAGAGTGGAGTCAGTGGGCGTGATACTGACACCACGTGTGGTGGAGGGAAGAAGTGAGATGGGGCAACAGCTGGAGGAGGAAGAGGAGACAGCAATATGGAGGGACAGCTTTCAGAAGAGTAGTGATGTGAGTGTGTTTGTTGGTAGAAAGAGAAAGGCTAAAGTCACCAGAGAAAGGCACTTGTTGGTGGCACAGGGGCTCTGAGGGTGTGTGTGTTCATGTGTGTGCAGGAGTGTGTGCATGCATACGAGTGTGTGACATGGGGATCAACAATGGGGGGATAAGGATGGGCCAAGTTGTGGATATGTTTGAGAGTAACGAGGAGGGCAAGGGAGAACACTCTCCTGACTTCTCTTGTCTCAGTGAAGGAGGGGAGAGGCCATTTTCCAGAAAGAGGACAGGAGGGAGACAGGGGCCCCAACAGCTCCAGAAGCCTGTCCATTCCTCTCTCCAGCTCAGAGCCAGTCTTGGCGGCGCTGTGGGAAGGGGTGGGGTGGCCTCAGAAGGTGAGGTGAGCTTGGTGGGTAACCTGAATTTCTTGCTAACTCTGGAGACCCACTAGACCCCTTCCTGCCAATTCCCTTAGGAAGCAGCATTCTTTCTTCCAGAGACCTTTGATCCAAAGCAAACTCTTTTTAAATTACTTTCTATTTTCTGCCTGGACTACTTTCCAGGTGACCAGTTCTGTCTTTGCTGCCTGCTCTTGGAAGGAGAGTCAGAGAACTAGAAGCACCTACCAGGCCCCTTACCCCACGCCCTCTTTCACAGGTTCCGGAGACTAAGGCCCAGGGCCAGGGTGGGTGCATGTCCAGGGCCACACAGCAAACAGGAGCAGCCTGAGACCAGGCCTTCCTTCCACCACTTTCCGTTGGGGGGCAGGCTGGGGGGTCCTCTAAAATCATATTCCCTTGCATTTTAGGGGGGGTGAGGAGGGAAATGACAGTCAGGAAGTGGGTGGGTGTAAAAACTCTGGAGGAGCAGGAAAGACTGGGGTGCTCCTCAGCCAGAGAGGGAAGTGCACCTGGCCCTCAGGGCAGAGGTCAGGCAGAACTTCTGTTTAGCTGGCAGACAGGGGCCTCTCCTCTTGCTTGTTCTGCCTTCTGACAGCCCTTCAGGGGCTGTGAGAGGCAGGAGAGAGCTGAGGGGCTGCCCCGGGACTCCTGGCTTCTCTGGCGCCCAAAACCCCCTGCCCCACCAACCCAAGATAGAAGAGAGGCCATCTTCTCCAGCCTGGAGACGCCAGAGCTTCTGATTCTCTTCCCTGAAGCGTTGACTTCAAGATTAAAGACAATTCCCATGGCACAGGGGGAAACTGTCTGAGATACAGACTCCCCAACACCAGTCAAAGCCATGTGCCTTTCCTCTTACCTAGCTCTCTGCCCAGCGACAGCTTGCTGAGCTGAGAAACCAGCCCGTCATCACATGTGACCTCCAAGACACATTCCCAGTCAAGTCTTTGACCAAAGATTGCCAAACGACGGGCTTTCACACACTGTGGCAGGTCCTTGGAGAAGTTTTAGGGGCAAGAGGGGTCTTCCACAGGTAAAGCTGACTCTGACAGTCAAATTGCCTTCAACCATCCAGAGACATTAACTAAGCACCTGTAGTCTGCAAGACACTGGGCCAACATAACCAGAGGGGCACAGAGCTGCCAGGAGAAATGGGGTGGGGCAAGGAAGGGGGACTGGAACTGGTTCCATGGGTGGATCTGGGGCACAGCCTTGGGTCCTGCCAGCTCAGGCCCCTCTTCTCAGGAAGGAGGGGGGGCAGCTGGGAGGCTGGAGGGCAGGAAGGATGCTGCTTACCTGCCATTGCCGTACTTGATACGGATGTCTCGGCTGCGGTTGAGTTCCTTGCCGTCCTTGAACCAGCGGTAGGAGGGCTGGGGGTTCCCGGCTGCTGCCTCGCACTTCAGTGATTGTTTCTCACCCACTTGTCCTGTCTGGCTCTTCATCTTCTTCAGCTTGGGCCGGGTGGCTGTGGGGGTACAAGGAAGGGAGGTGAGCATGCTGGTGGCAGGGGCAGTGTTAAGCATGAGCAGTGGAAGAAGGGCCACTCTCCTTGGGCTGGGTCTAGGGAGGTGGAAGGGGAGGCCTTGGGGGCCACCCCTCCTGGTGCTATTTCCTAGTTCAATTCAACAAGCATTCACAGAGGATCTGCAATGATGTCAACATGGCTACTACCTATGGAGAGTTTCCTTCATGCCTGGAACAGTACTAGGAACTTTACATAATTAGCTTATGAAAATAACCCCGTGAGTTCACTGCAATGATTCAACCCATTTATAGATGGGGAAACTGAGGCTCAGAATGGTGAAGTCACTTCCCCAAGGTGATGGAACTGGGATTCAAACTCAGGTCTCCTTGACATCAGTGCTCATGATCTAACTCCTGTTCCAGACTCCCAGCCTTATGCTCGGCTCAGAGGACACAGGTGGACCAAGATGACAAATACAGCTCCTGCCCTCAGGAAGTTCAGTCTGTCAGGGGAGCAGTAACCTGGCATTGCCATCACAGCAGGGTTCCTGGAGGCCTGGGAGTGCTGGAGCCCAGAGTTGTGACCCCAACCCAGGCTGGGGGACGGAAGAACTCAGCTGAGAGGTAAAGGATGGGGGAGAAGGAGAAGGGAGGGAGGTAGGATAGGCACAGTCAGCACTGTGGCCTGGGAGAATCACATGTGATCCAGTGGGGTGGGCTGACTTGAGTGGGTGAAGTGGAGTGGCTGTGTGGGGGACACGGCATGGGGCTAGACTAGTGGGCACAGACCCAACCACAGACGCAGGGCCGCAAATGCCCAGCTGAGAGGCTTCTCCCACTTTTCTTAAACACCATTCGATTTCCACATGCCCCGGTCTCCCACGCTTCATCTCCTTGCTCCCTTCCCCACAACAACCTAAAAAAAAAGAAAAAGAAAAAGTACTCTGTTCTCAGGAAGGTGAGGGCAAGCCCATGCTCCCTGTTGATGCATGTAATAATTTCTACTGGGACAGCCCTTACAGGATACGCAATGCCTTTGTGCACACTCTCATTTGGTCTCTGAGCTCTGTAATGCAAGAAGTGTTACTGACATAGATGGTGAAGGTGAGCCTTAGAGAGGTTAAGAAACTTGACCAAGGTCACATAGCCAGGCAGCCAGGCAGCCAGAGCTGGGACCAAAGCCCAGGTATCTGAATTTACAATGCATCAGGCTAGAGTCTGCTTTTGCAGCCTCATCTCTCTTTGAGGAATGGAGACCCTTTTTTTAATCCTTCCAACATCAGAGGGGAGGATCTGCTGGGACCAGGGAGTTGTCTGGGGACTGACTGGCCCTGTCTAGGCCATTGGTCCTTCCCTTGGCAGCTCACAGCAATACGCCTGAGCTGGCTCTGGATAAAGGCAGGTGAGAGGGCCTGGCTATAGATAGGGGCCCTCACTGAGCCTAACCTGAGCTGCTGCTTGTGAGTAGGGAGTAGATGGGAGTGGAGTACAGGGGCAGAGGAAGTATAGAGAAAGGGCTCCCAAAGCCTTAGAAGAAGTATTACATAGACTCAAAAAACGGTGCTTGTGTTCATTCTAGAAAATTAAAAAATACAGATGGATAAAAGAATAAAACAAAATCATCTATTATCATCCTAGTACTCAGAAATAAAACATACACACACATTTAAACAAAATGGGATCACTTCCAGTAACGTGTTTCTTTCCTTTAATGAAACAATGTAAACCTTTTGCCTTGGTGTTAAATATTAATAACAGCATTTCCAAAGCTGAATTCCATAGGAAGCAATATCCAGAGATGATAATAGATATTACTATAATAGATATTACTTGAGAAAACGGTGCCATCAGCAAGTCAGTCTGTGGAACACGTGGGTGAACAGAGTTAAAGAAGCATCCTCATCGACTTCAGTGTGCTTCTTCAAGTAGGGGCCTTGGAATTTTTTTTCTTGGAACCCTTAGTAACACTTCAAGGAAACAAAGTTATGTGGAATAAGTTCTACAACACAACTTAGATGTATATATATTTATATATATACATATTTTAATAGATAATATATTCACAAGGTTCAAAATTCAAGAAGTGGAAAAATGGTATATGGCTTAAAAAACAAGTCTTCCTCTAACTTCCGACCACAGCCACACAGTTGCCTTTCAAGGAGGCAACCAATTTTATCAGTTCCTTGTATATCCATTCAGAGATCTTTTATGCATATACAAAACCCTCCAGGGGCCGTCCCCGTGGTGTAGTGGTTAAGTCCAGCAAGCTCCTCTTCAGTGACCCCAGTTCACGGGTTTGGTTCCCAGGCGCGGACCTACACCACTAATTAAGCCATGCTGTGGTGGCAACCCCACATACAAAATAGAGGAAGACTGGCACAGATGTTAGCTCAGGGCTAATCTTCCTCCAGCAAAAAAAGAGGAAGATTGGCAACAGATGTTAGCTTAGAGAGAACCTTCCTCCCCCAAAAAACCCCACAAAAGACAAAAACCCTCCAGTATTCACACACACATACTTTTTCTACAGCATCATTTTTCATGGTTGCATAACATTCCTATATGGGCGTATCACAATTTATGTAACCAATTCCTTTCATAGGGCATTCAGCATGTTTTCTTCCCTCCCTTCCCCCACCACCATTATAAACAAGCCCAGAGGATCATCCTTGGTACACATCCAGTGTATACTGTTATACAGGCAGTGTGGCTCTTGACTCAGATTGCCTGGATTCAAATCCAGGCTTTGTTACTCATTCTTTGTGTCCTCAGGTCATTGACATAATCCTTTTGCACCTCGGTTTCCTCATCTGTAAAATACAGGTGATGATAACAGCTCCTACATTATGGGACGATGGCTGTGAGGATTATATGCGTGTAGAGCCTGGCACACACAGAGCGTTTAATAAAGGTTAGCTATTATTGTTATTATTATCCACAATTATTTCGTAAGGCAAGCTTCCTAAAAGTGGAATTGCTGTGTCAAAAGGGTATGCAATCTTCCTCAGCTTTATGGATTGCCAAATTATCTTCTGGAAAGACTGCACCAATTTGCACTCCCACCAGTGAATGACAGTGCCTGTTTTTTCCCACACCCTCACCAACATGAGGTATTATCATGTATTTAATCTTCCACCAATTAGCTAGGCAAAGGTAACATCTCTTTGTTATTTTAATTTGCATTTATTTGATTCCTGATGAGGCTGACCACTTTTCATAAGTGTATCGGCCCATTGTATTACTTCTTTTTGAATTGCCTGTTCATGTCCATACTCTGTTTTTCTACTGGGTGCTTATCTTCTTATTGATCTGTAACAGTTGTTTATAAATATAAATATTAAGGCTACTAACCTTTTGCTACAATTTTTTCCCCCAATTACCTGCTTTTTACAATTTTTAAAGCTAGTTTTTTTTTTTTTGACACCCAGAGGTTTTATGTGTATCAACCTATCAATCTGTCAGACTTTCTAGAACCTCATTATTCTAAGTGTGATTGAAGTCCTGCCTCAGCATCCTTCCCCCTTACCTACACTCCAATCCTCCTTCATCTGCTTGCTCTGGGGTCCCCAGTCACTCCTTATCAATAGCTTTTAACCCTGGAACTATATGGGAAGCTTTAAATATTACGTAGGTGCCTGGGACATATCCTAGACATTCTGAAGCAGAACCTGTGAGAGTGGGTCCAGGCGTTTGGGTTTTAAAGTGTTCTTCGAGTGTCTTTCTAATGTTAAAAAATATATATAACATACATACAGGAAAGTGCACGTATTGTAAGTGTATAGCTCAATGACTGGTTATAAACCGAACACATCCTCACAGGTGGCTTTGCTTTAAGGTTGGGTTGACACCCAGTGATCTAACCTCTTGGTCAACTGCTGACCTCCAACTAGTCTCCTCTGCCTTCTCATGAACTGAAGACACAGAGAGCTCTTCTCATGTTCTAAGGTGCCTCCTTCCCCTGCTTGGAGAGTGTTGCCCTTCCTGGAAGTTCTGAGCAAGGGAGCCCTCTGAGCCCACCACCATGGGCCACCTCCCTCAGTGGGAGGAAGTGGTGGTCACTCTATTACCTTGTTTCCTGACATGAGTCCTGGTGCGATACTATGCACTGAGCCTGTGGCCACTGCTTGATGATGGTGGTGATGGTGGGGGGCGGTTTACATAGAGACTGACCCCAGAAACAGCAGGCATGACCCCAAGACCCCAATTCAGAAGGCCTTAGGAACTCGGGGCTCCAAAGTCATTTCCTCCACCAATGGAAAATCTAAGACTGCATTTCAGATCACAAGGAGCCTATCCCATCTAGTGAGAACGCTGTGTGACCCGACAGCCACTTCTTTACAGTCCACTCACTTCAGAACAACCCCATCTGGTTCACCTGTTCCTCATTCGTTCATTCATTCAACCTACTATGCATGTGCCAGGCACTGTTCTCGGCCCTGAGTATACAATAGCGAACAAGACACAGAAGCTTCCTGCTCTTAAGGAGCCTGAATTTTTTTTCTTTTTCTTTTTTGTGAGGAAGATCAGCCCTGAGCTAAAATCCATGCCAATCCTCCTCTTTTTGCTGAGGAAGACTGGCCCTCAGCTAACATCTGTGCCCATCTTCCCCCACTTTATATGGGATGCCGCCACAACATGGCCTGACAAGCGGTGCGTCGGCACGCGCCCAGGATCCGAACCTGGGCCGCCAGCAGTGGAGCGTGTGCACTTAACCGCTATGCCACAGGGCCGGCCCTCGGAGCCTGAATTTTAGTGAGAAGAATAGACCACAGCAAATAATCAACAGGAGATATGAGGCAGTAATAGGCAGCTGGATAAAGGCCCTGAGGTGGGAATGAGGTTGGTGAGTTCACGGGCTAAAACAGGACCATGCGGCTGGAAGATTCTGGAAGACAGGAGTGGTATGAGGGGAGCCTGGAGAGGTAGGCTCAGGTGACATGGGTCTGTGTGAGCCAGGATGAAAAGTTTGGATTTGTTTTGCACCCCCCCCTTTTTTTTAACTGT